AAAGTTGTTTTTGCTGCGGGGGGGGGGGGTCTGTTTTCCACTTGGATCAAATTTCATGTAGCTGAACAACTCTGATCACATTGCTAATGTTTGAGATACTCTGATTGTACAACCTCAACATGCACATAAACGTAAGTTCTACGTAAGTTCTACGTGAATCTTACGTCAAGTGATTTATACAGCATAACAGGTGTCTGGATCCGCACATTTTTAATGAAGAAAGATAATATATACGGATTTCCCAAATCAAAAAATGGGAGGAACTGACGATTTGTTTGAATTAACTGTTGGGTTTGTTCAAACAGACCTACATGATGTACATTCAACAGCATGAGCCACAATAATTACAAGTACATGATTATTTTATTTTACAATCAAGATTACAGATAAAGATATGAAATCTATTAACTTTACATGTTCTAGACATTACTGTCTAATCTCAATTCATACACTTTACAGCCATGAATAACTTAAGTGTAAAGCATTTTATTAATTGAAATTGATAATACTATGAATATTACCCATGTGGCATTGAGACTGATTAAAAACTGATAAAAAAAGAAAGCAACAAATACTACACGCTGAAAAAACAGCGCTTCTCCACCTGTACAACATATACATACACATACTGTATAATATCACATTTAACCCTTGTGCTCAGTGTTTTTTCCTCACTAGAAAAAAAAAATCCCACTAATGTAAAATCACAGGCAGTGTGGGGCACATACTGTAGATATGTTGTCTAGTACCTCCATGTCTTTAATATTCTCTGCTAACAAGAGTAATAGGATCTTTGGCTCCAGGTCGAACCATAAAGGTCTTACCATGTGTATATTTTGATGGTCCATTGCTGTAAAGAACACATTCATGATTATGAATAGATGCAGAATCCAAACACTGGGCTTATTGTCTTAAAAAGTGAATGTGTCACAATTGAGCACTGGAAGTCTTACCTTGTGGGAGATTTCACCGAAGATGCTTCCTGATATTTTTTGACTACTTTACCCTCCAATTCTCGCATGTCCAGGGTTGCTGGTTTGTTGACCACAGGGTTTTTCTTGCTCTGCAGTGGAGGTCTGGGAACAACAGGGACCTTATTCTCCTCATCAGACATAGGGCTGCTCCAGTCATCAGAACTTGACTCTGCCTCCTTTGCTGGGGCCATTTTGTGGTCCATTTCCAACATCTTCTTTTGTAAGATACTCAGGAGTGTGGTTTGATTGGGCGAAAGATTTGATGGTAGCTGAGTAGGGGCTGCCTGACGTTTTGCCTGACCTTGAGGCTTTGGTTTGATGTCAATTTCAGGAAGAGGAGGTGGTTTTGGAGCTGCTGGGGCTTTAGGTTTTGGAGGAGGAGGAGGAGATGGAACTAGAGCTGCAGGAGGAAGGTTCACAGTTGGTGCTGTGGGCTTTAACACAGGAGGATTGGGTGGACGGATGGAAGGAGGGGACTTCATAAGTTCCTCAAAATCATCAAACTCTGGTGGAGGAGGGAGTACCGGCAGACTTACCCCCCCTTGATTAAACTCAGGCTGTGACTTTGAGGGGCTTTGCTCTACATTTAGTCTCTGCTCAGCCAGGTTGATCGCACTTGGGGATGCAGGTGTTGTGATCATATTGAAAGCTGGACTACTGGATTTTTTTGGAAACTGAATTGTTTGTGTATGTTCCACAGGAATGGCAGACTTTGGACTTTCCTGTATTCTTTCTTGCAATGCAAGAGAAGAGGACGAGCTAGACTTTGGGATGACAACAAAGGAATTGGGACTCGAATCACTCAAGTGAATATTTGCACTTGGCTGTTCACTCTGCTTGGCACTGTTTTCACGTGACAGACTTTGAGTTGATTTGTGCTTCTCTCTTTCCTTAGCTGCCTTTAAAAGAGCCAGTGGAGAAGCTGCATGTCCATCTCGTGGCCCACTGGTTTCACCAATCTTCAGGGTGCGTAGTTTACGATCTAATAGTGGACTGAATTTGCCAGTTTGATTCTGTGATAATTCAAGTTTGGGCCTCCTGGGCTCTAAATTCACCGGAGTGCTGTTCATTTTCAGCTGTGGTGCTGACATCTGAGGCGGAGTCTGGGGTGGTTCAGGTATTTCTGGTTGTACTAAAACTGTCTCTGTTTTAGCCTCCATGTTGGGCACAGGGGGGGGTGGTTGAGAGGGTTTGGTAAAATGTAAGCTCTTCTTCGGCTCCTTTACGTCTTTGGAAAGTGGTTTGGATAGTGCGGCCGCTGTAGGGTCATTCCCATCCACCTGGGCAAGGACTGAGGGAGAATGAACAGACCCAGATTCATCCAGGAGTAACTTCTGCTTGGGTCTTGTATCACGATCCTCATACCCGCTGAGAACTGAGGTTTTAGGAACATTGTAAAGCTTTGCTGTGGTCTGGGGATTAAAGCTGGAGGCTGTGGGTGCGTGCACAGGCGGAGGAGGAGCCGGAGTCTGTGGCGGGGAGTCAAGGCTGGAGATAGAGGAGAATCCATTGAGTTCAGGGCTGGTAGATCGAAGCTTTGGTGGAGTCAGTGAACTGGGTTTCGAAACAGGCATGGAAGCAGGATGAAGCATTGTGTCTAGATGGTTTAAGTCACCCATGAAGTCTGGTGGGGGGATGATAAAAGTCCCTGGTGGGGGTGGAGGTGCCGTAGAGGGAGGAGGAGGAACAAATATTTCCCCTTCCACAGGGTCAGACACAGATATAACTGATCCGTTGAGCAGCTGATTTCCAGCGACTACGAAAGAAAAGACAAACGAGAATAACTGAGAAATGTTCAGTGCTGCTGTGCAGAGGAGCGGGAGCACGTGCAGCTGCCAGGTTTTAAGCATTTGCACAGTGTAAATATGTTTAAAAACTATATTCAAAATGTTTTCTCTGTCAATAAGATAGTAAAGAATAGAATGAGTCTAACATGATCAGGTTCTTCCACTCAGTTTAAAAAATGTCACATTAGTTACCAAAATGAGTTTAAAGATAAACACTTACATACTCACTTAAATTCAGTTTCTTTACAGATAAAAGTAAATGAACAATATCCACTTCTTTCTATAAATGCAAACACTCCCATTCTGTGACTATGCTTGCCAGTTGATGTGGCTGTTTGGACACATTCAGGAGGGTTATTGAGCAACTTCCTGGGCAAACATTTACCTGCTCTGCATTTACAACTCTTTATGGAAACATTCTGATCACTGTAATCCATGAACGAAGTCTTATTATCAGCTCCACACACTGTGTGGTGTAAATAATATATCTTTAGCCTTTGCCATGTTAAACTTGAAGTAAATGTGTGAGGTAGTTGGACGCTCACCTGAACCATTAGCCTTTGGACCATTCACAGGGGGGAGAAGGGGGACTTTAGGAGTTGGGACAGCAAACCCTTGAAAAGTGTCAGTTGACTGTGAGGAAAAAAAGACAACACCATTGGACTGTTGACATTTTTTAAGGTGGAGGAGACAGAGCCATAGCTCAAGAACAATGACAGAGTTGCATAAAGTTTACAGCCTAAAGTTTAAAGGTGCTGGCAAAGATTCACTGTTGGAGTGAACAAACCAGTTCTCAACGATCTCAACGCTCAGTGTTACTTAAAAAACAGGTTGGCACGTCTAAAACCTGTTGGCATCAAAAGAACAGTTGCTTCCAAATCATTCTATTTGCTTTCACATCTTGGTATTATAAGAAATGTAGTGTATGAGTTCACAAATTTTAACTTAAATCTGTAAAAGGTAAACATTGAAGTAAAAATAATACAATGTACTCTGACATAAATTCAGTGTTTTACTATAACTGCAAAAATGTGTGAATGTGTGATTCTGCATGGTACATACTTTAAGGCGAATCTTTAAGCTTTGTCACAGTGAAACTAGTGACATGTTGCTAAGAGATCCTTTTTCATACTGCACAATTTCACATACTTGACTCATGAGGAGTACTGGGTGAATCAGAGTATCACACTATCTAGTATTAAAATGGGACCTGGCAGTGTGAGTATGATGGAGGTAACGATCACAGCCCAAATGCCACCAAAAACAAACACAGACTGTTGGTACAAGTCCATGAGAGTCCACAGCATACATGCCCTTCAAAAGGTCAGAACATTGTTCCAGCAACACAATATACTGTATTTTCTGTAGTACTGCTGCAAGCCCTTTGGGTAATCTGCTAATGCTATAAAGCACACAGCTTTACTCCAAAAAGTAATTAGGGCTGTTTGGTTATGCTAAAAATGTCACAGAGATTCTATGTCATATACACCCACTCAAATTCTCAACACGTAGTTAAAAAAAAAATAAACTGTGCAAATTCAGCCAACAATACATATCCAAAGAGATCTCAGTTTCAAAAAGCTACAGTCTGTTTGCTTGTAATCACAGGACACTTTTGTAGCTTCATGGAAAAATGTGAAGTCTGCACCACAGGCAGAGGGAGTGTCACCAGAGATGGCGTACGATCCAGTTTGATTTTATCTGTTTGTTCCCTGTGCTAATGACTCATGCTCATCTGTTGCAGCAGACCGAGCGGTCCTGCCCATGTGCTACTGGGTGTGTCACATCCAACACATGCCACAGACGCATTTACAGAACACTCCCTAACTGAGGTGTGTGAACCTGAGCAGAGATGATCTCTTTGTTTATATCTGCACAGCAACGATATACCGTAGGGCTTGATGGTCACTCGGGCTGCTAATGTGGTGCTAGAAGTAGCATTAAGATCCTTTACTTACCTAAAAGTACCGATATGTAATGTAAAAAGATTTATTTAGTAGAACAAGTAAACACTTGCATTAAAATTTAAACTTAAGTGAAAGTACATCTCTACCATGATACCATCTTTACTGTGGACGACATAACTACCAGTGGATTCATACACTCTGCCAGTCACACACTAAACTGTCCATTATCAATTTATTTGCTTCTGTGTAGTTCTGGAGATACAGAGTTAAACTGAAGCAACCCCCACATTGCAGGTAAGCGACAGAAAAGATCTCACCATTAGACACTGAGTGATAAATGTGAGCATGTACAGTATATGTACCACAAATGTACTCACAGTATGATGGTTGACAGTGGGTCTGGCCCGCACGCTGGCGGTTCCTGACTCGGGGATGGCTGCTGAATCCAGCATCCAATTGACATTATCTGAGGAAATAAAAAGCAGAGTGTTACTATCTTCTGGCAGACCTCTGATAGCAAAGCAAGCATCAACATGTCACTTTAGCCTTTCAGTTTCATTTAAAGTCAGGTGATAATGGCAAACGGCAAAGTTGGAGCAAGACACAGTAGCAGTCAGAAACTGCACAGCTGATCATCCGTCTATTGTCCTTTCAGGCGAAGATCAGCACACTCTGGTTTTTGTGCAGGTAACGAGGTTCTGTCGGCACCAACGTGGCCTCTTTGTTAGTAGCTGTCAGTTAAGCTGATGATCTGCTGTGCGATCCCGTGTGGTGTACTTAGTACAGTAGCAGGTTTGTTGTTGACAACCCAATAGTGACAGACAGCTGAAATGAAAGCTTAGCTTTGGTGGCAACTGACGGTAGTTACAACAAGACATGTTGTAGCATAAAACATGGCCAAACCTAAATAAACTGTCATGCAATTTTATAATAGAATGTGCAAATGTTAAATACTTGGAATCACCCATTAATTTTTAAGTTAAATCCACTGAGTTGTATATATTTTCCATTGTCTTTAACAGAAATGCCATTTCCTGACAGCTACACACTGATATTATACATGTCAAAATCTTTAGGTATTTATATATCATACTATAAAAAAGAGAGTATAATGTTTCCATACTTTGAAGCCAAACAGATTGTTTACATTATTCTGCACTGTTACTGTAAATGTCAGATGGCTTGACCGTTTGTAAGATTAAGGGCAAAGGTGAGCTGAAAGAGCTACAGCACTGGGACAAAGACCTAATAATTAAACGTCCACCCTTTAATGTGATGGTGTACACAAACCATCGGTTTGAGGTTTGAGTTAGAAGTCGCACAATCCTTAGTCGTTCATTCCAGTGTTGGTTATGCTGTTTGCCCAGTGCGTCACTGATGAATGAGACTTATCGCTGACAGACACTTTCCATGTTCTGTCAGCCCTTTGTGGCAACACGTTTCATCTGGGCTGAAGAGACCACGATCAACACAACATTAAAATAAAGGAAGGGAATCAAAGAGTTTTTCCTCTAATTGTTACTTCAGTCAACAAGTATCATGTTTTCCCTATAATGTTTGTGTACTTTAGGCGTCACTCCAAAGATGAGGAAACATTTCCACATGAATGACAACAAAAGGAATGGGCTGTGATTCTAAGCCACACTAACCAAATTATTTGTTTCCTTTTCGTGCCCCTGTCTGATTTAAATAGACAAATTTACCCTCTCTGTTGTGGCTTTGCAAATGGAGCTCATGTAGACCTGAGGAGTGATATCAGTCAGCTGATATCAGCATGTGAGAGCAGGTGTTGGTTGGTATTCACTGTATGACTGTGTTATTTTTATAAAGATAAGCACTTTTATTTGGCCAATGTTGCACACAAGGAATCTGTTTCCACTACAGAACCAAGGCAGCCATCTGCGGCACCAGCTCACACCGATGGCTCTAACCATCGGGGGCAACTTGGGGGTTCAGTGTCTTGCCCAAGGACACCTTGACACGTGGACTGCAGGCACCGAGATTGAAACCTCCGACCCTCCGGTTAGGAGACAATTTCTCTACCCACTGAACCACAGCTTTCAAGTTTTTGTTTTCATCAAGATCAGTGCTGCTGTCAAATCATAGTATCTTCCAGATATTTCACCAATAATTTTGGGACCAAAATCACTACTACATATCATTTTGTTGTTTATCTGAGATCAATAAACTGCAGTCAAACTGTCTTTAAACAGAGGAGAAGTGTAAGCACCAAACAAACACACTGAAGCATCTGTTTTAGACACAAATTCAGTCACCCTGGACATTAGGAGATATCCATGTACCCAGTTTTCTCTCTTGACCGGACATTCTAGAGATGCCTGTTTGCTGCGCCTAAATTCCTTACGTCACTGAAGCATTGTTAAGGCAACAAGTGCTCATCATTTTAGTATGATGTCAGGATTACAAGGTCATCCAGATTTACGCAGAAGATTATCATTAAAGAACAGGTTTTTCATGGATGATCACATTGCCGTAATGGCACCTGCTGCTACCTGTTCACCGAGACGTGTCATGACATATGATCCACTTGTATCAACAGCTATAATGTCCACGGACAGTACGTGCGCGTCTTGGCTTTAACACTTCTGTCCAAGACGCGTTCAAAGGTCTTGTTGGTGTTCATAAAAATCGTTCATGTAAACAGTCCGTGTAAGCGGTGTACTCACCCATGTCCCTCACTTTGATATTGGTGTCGAAAAGAGACTGGTTCTTTCGACCCAAAAAATTCAACGACCCCTTCTTCATGGCTATTGATTAGTCACTGTGTAGATACGACTCGTCGGTTCAGCGGGGATTATTTGAACATCTTGATCAGCAGATAAATCCGACGTAAGGCGCAGGTGAGATCCTTTCGCGAGAGGTGCACCGCGGGGCTCCAGACGTTTGGTGCAAAGTTTTCAGGACAGGCAGATAAAACGGAGCTAACCCCGCCCACCCCACTTTCACTGCGCCTCCCTGTGTGTGCACGCTCCCAACAGGTGAGGCCTCAGCTTTTCAGCGACATGCCCGCACAAATGGCCCCTGCTGTCTGCCACTGCTCGGCTGTGAAGTGGCTCTGTCATGATCATATGCATTTTAAAGCACTTGGCAGACTTGTTGTGACAGTGGAGGACTCACCACGTCAGTTTGATTCATACTGATCATAAACATAGTCAAGATGCACGCACCTAGATTTAAAATAAGGTACTTTCATTTAATATGAGTCATTAAAAACTAGTGCTTTTCATCACAACAGGACATAAGATGTTGATGGGAAATGAGCTATTTTGCTCTAATACGTATAAAATTATAATAAAACAGTAAGTCTGATTATAAATAAGTAAACTTTCTTATGTTCTTTTGTGTTTTTTTGTGCAATGTTCTTACTGTATGTTACTTAGACTATACACTGATGATCGAGATTTTAAATTCAAAACCTATGATCAGTTAATAAAGCATGTTTTATTCTTATTGTTGTTGATAGCCTAATACATATAGTATTTTGTATATTTACTTAAGTAATAATTTGACTGAGGATATCCAGAATTACAACATGCATTGTCTGCATTTAGTTTTTGCCTGAAGCCTCAACATAACAAATTAGTAAGAGCCATGTTATTTATACATCCTTACAGTTGCTCAGTTATTTATTAAAGGCTGTGCCACTACATATTTGTTATTAATGCATTGTTTATAACAAATCTGTGTCATGGTTTAGGCATTCCATGGCAGTGTTGACCTAAGGATGGTGAAGCAGCAGCATAACTCTATGTCTGAGCTGATACCCAGTGTTTTACACAACATTAATACCAGTGCTAGAAATCAATCCACTACAGTTAGTAGTTTGTAAATTAAGATGAGGGCTGGATGATACTGATGAAATAAAAACTCTCATTACTTTTGTCTAAACATTTGGATACAGAGCCATTATTTTAGGAATTGAAACTTTTTGTTGCTACTGCAAGAACGTTTCCTATACTATGCTACGCTATACTACAACAGTGAAATAATACTATCATAAACAAGGCTGTAGATTATGCTGCATAATAAGTATGTTAACTTTTGATGCTTAAAGTACATTTTTGCCATCCATTTCACTTCAGCACAAAATCTGAATGCCTTTCCCAGCACTGGTGTGTACAGATCTGTGAATTTGACTAAAATAGGAACAATCCAATAAGGATATTTAATCTATTCCCTTGATCAGATTCATAGTAAATGGAGGATGAAAAATATTCACACAAGGAAGTGGATCTGGGAAAGAGCAGTTTTAGCTTCATGCGTTTACTGTAATTACTTAGTAGCAGATTGTTATGAAGTCACCCTGTTCAAAAAACAGTCTTGTTTCTTTTGGCTCATTGCTACAGTGACAGTGTTTTTCTTAAGTTTGTCTGTCTGTTGCACTTACACCCCAGTCTGTCCTGGAGCCTTGAGAGAAACCAGACTGGTCAATCCAGTTCCTCCTTGTGGGGTGAGAATCCATGAGGCCCAGTGATGCTGGCTGGAATGTGAAGAATGAGCTGAGAAGAGTCTTTAACATTTTACCTGCCTTAAACTACATACAGCTCGGCTCAAGGTACACATTGGGTCTAAATGGAATAAAAATTCAGGTGATATCTGAAGAAAATGTGATTTGTGAAGGAATATGTAAAATTAAGACAACAGCGGTCACAGTATGTTTCAGAGCTGTATCTGCAGACAGTTTTCCTGTTTGTTAGGAGAAAGCACAGCCAGGAAAACATGTTCACAGAGAGGCCTGTGTGGGGCTGCACACACTTTGATTGTGCCAGACTGATTTATTCTTGTTTATGAATGTGCTGCTTGCTCTGTGTATTGTGCTTCTGTGATGACCTGTTTTGCATTTTCTTTTTGTATTATTGCTTTGCATGCACACACACTATTATTATAACTGTTTTTATTGTAGTTTTAATTATAAATGTTTCATCTGCTGAGAGACTACAGATGAAAAAAGGCTAGGCAATGTTATTAAAGTGCACTGCCCCTGTTATATACACCAATATAAAAAATTTCATTGACCTCTGTTGGTTGTTGACCAGTGCAAATCAAACTAAAATGATCACTACTAGATGCTAAGAGAATAATTGTAAAACTGGGTGAATTGACCATTTTTATGCTGTAACACAAGCTGTCACTCGTACATGTAATTTTTCTTAGGACCATGAACTGATATTGTTCAAGGCCCATAGTTGTCAAGTCCAGCAAACCAGCAGCCCACTGCATTGGGTAGGCTGAGAGGTCATGTATGACTAATGTGTATCTAAAGGCTGGCTTTCATTTTACTGTATGTACCTTTGTATTTACATCTCCTTTTCCCTTTGTCGTGAAGATGACTTCGCGTCAGTGTCTGTAGTAACACTGCAGCTACCTAAGTGTTGGTTCAGGGATGCAAGTCCCAACTTCCAAACTCCAGGACCCTCTGAATTGCAGTAAAAACCCCAGCTGTGGCCCCAGTTTCACCGGCGAGACAATGGCAGCACGCTGACAGTAAAGCAGGTGAATATCTACAGCCAATGACAATTTATGTTTATAGAAAGTTCTTTAAACCATACATCTTTGATCAAGATGTCTTAACTAGTGCCAACGTCTGATGAAAATATTAATTTTTCCCCATACTTTGGTGTATGACCAAATCTGATGACATTTCCATCAGCCTCAGGTGTACTTTGTCTTTAGTGCTAATTAGCAAACAGTGTTGTGCTAATATGCTAGCATTAGCATTGTGAGCATGTTGGCATTTATCTGAAGTACAGACTGAGAGTGTTCGCATGGCTGTGTGCTCTGTAGTCTTGTTTATTAACACCACAATAGAACATGTCAAGACAGCAACCTATACTTATAATAAAATTAAATACAAAAAAGTCATGTAGCTCCAGTCATGGCTACACATACTGTATGTACTGTATACAGGAGCGTAAATAAAGAGAAGAAAGGGGGAGAAATACTTTGATGCATTCACAGTTTGCTGAGTGAGTGTACTGCCAGCCACTCCCAAGAAAAAGGACTACGGAGAGATGTTTGTTTCACAGATTAATATATGGTGTTTCTTGCAACACATTTGATAATCTCACCTGAGGAAAAATGTAGTGATTTTTCAGACCACACTGAAAGTAGGGAAACAACCATCAACCTAAGTATGGAAAAAGGTTTTGGGCCCTATGTTAAAGTGATCACATAGCTAAATAATGGTAAAGCCATTTGTGTTGCAGAATTAATTAAGGACTATAATGCCTGCATTGAAATTGGATAAACAAGCAGTAATGATTGATAAGATTCTTAAAAGTCAGCCAGAAATCTTAAATACTTTTGGTCGGCAAAAAATTCTTTCCCGAGGTTTCCTTAATTAGCTAAGTCTTTGCTGTCAAGCAAAGTGGGTTACAGCCTCTGAGCCTTTCACTCAGACACACAAAGACGATCAGCTAACACACACACACTGGTTGCCGCTGCTTGTAAACAGCATACTGACCGTGTCTGGGTGCTCAGTGGATGTAGTACACTATGCCTATGGTTTTTAAAACAAACATGAGAAACTCCTGCAGACCAACTGTTGAAAAGGAAATTATAGAGATAGTGAATAAATGTAGTAACAAAACATCTAGTGATAGTGATGGTATCACTATGACAACTGTT